AGATTCAACAGATCCCTACCCAAAGAGTTAAAAATGCAATTGCATATTGAGAGGAGCACTAAGCACATCCTACCACACCAAGTGAAAAGAGAGAAAGATACTACTACTAGATGTGCTTCACTAAACAGGGCAATTCACAAGGCTTGTTTGAATGCCAAGTTTGCTGAGAAGGAAAAACCCTGACATCTAGTGCCCATCTGAAAGAGTGAACCCTAGAGCCAGCACAATTCTTAAGTCTAGTTGTTTGTGTGGAGGTGGCAACCAAATTGCACTCAATTTGGAATCTATTTTTCTCAGAAAAATTTAAGGAAATTTTTTTTTTTTTTTTTTAATTTAAGGAGAAAAAAAATACCATGCAAGAATTTCGGTCTCTGACTACCAATCTTGTTTTGGGCACACATTCTGTGCCTATTATAACTGCTTCTAAACACAGCCCCTTCTCATTATAACACGAGTGAGGGAGGGAATGGATGGGCTCATATTACTAAAAAACAAAACAACACAACAACAAAAAACACCTTGTTCTGAAATTTTGAGGAAAACAGGGTCCTAATTTCCACGCCCCCTAAAGTTACTATAATCGTTGCTTCTCTCTATCTTATCTTTCTTCATTGCCCAATTAGTTCACAGAGCTATTATGAGCAAATGTTATAGAAGAACCCCAGTAACTTGTTTCAGAACAAATAAGAACACAGTCTCAAGAAAGCTAGTGTTTTCTTTTTCCTACCAGGCAAAGTTAAGTTGTTCTCTTGTCAAGTCTGTTACAGCTCTTGGCCTGATCTTAGTCTGAGCCTTATAATAATGGGATTTAGTGTGAAAAGCAGCTGCACTGGATTGTGAACTCTTACTCAAAATGTTCCCACCTACAATTACAGCTTCCACCAAATGATCAAAACAGGTTAGCAAACTGGCAGGAAAATGAAAACAATTCCTCCCAAACTGACAAGGAGTGAAGCAGAACTGTTGGTTAGCTGCACGTCTTTTGCAGACTCAACAGCTCCTGTTCACCTCGCTATGTATTTACATAGACTGTCCATCACTATAGCAGCTAGAAATGAAATCAATTTAATCTATGTTGCAATCATATTTTCCTCAATTTTCACTTTTACTTGAAACTATTTAAAAGAGAAAACAAAACATCCTGGGCAACTCAACTCTGGAGCTATTTGCAAGTAACACAGCTAACAGATTTAGTCTATGTCTTCTTCATTCCTACTATAAATTCATACTAAATGCAATGCCATTCACATTTGACGATGAAAAAAAATGTTTCTCCTATGCCTTTTAGCATGTATTAGGTAGCATCCCTTCATTTACATCTCCCTTTACTTGGAATGGACAACTAGGAAAACAGAAAGGAGGAAGGACCTAATGCCACATCAGAAAGACTCTCTTTCTCCTGCCTCTAACATGGGCACAAATTGCTCAAAATGCAGGTCACATCTCTGCTGAAACTGCCAATATTCTTCCTCAAATGGCAAACAAGTTACCTAAAACTAAATAGAACTGAATTGTTCCAAGTCCTGGTCCTATCACCATTTTACCTATTTATTGTCCTAGAAAAAAAAAAGGAAAGACAGACTGGCAACCCATATAGCCCGGTAAGTGCAGGTTTTCTGCCTTTGATGATGGGACAAGCATCTCAATTCATGGAAAAACCCTGTGAGAATCTCTTGTTTTATCCTTAGTGCTTATGTCCATGTGCTAGCTTTTAAACTCAAACTCCAGTCCTTCAAGGTAATGAAATACCACCCACAGTGATGGCCTGGTGCAGCCATCACCTCTGGAGAACATCACATCGTGATGAGTTAATGTCCATGCATTTACATTGAGCCTTGGCTCTCAGAACATTAACAGGTCATTTGTTTTTTTTTATTTTTATTTTTTATTTTGATTTGGGTGAAGATTTACAGAGTAAATTCGCCTTTCATACAGCAGTTCACATATACTTTGTCTCATGTCATTGACCAAGATTTACAATACAACAGCTTCCCTCCCACTTCCTTCCCATAGTTACCTCTTCCCAGTGTTCATCCCTCCATACTCTTCTGCGCCCTGAGCTGTCTCCCTGTGCATAAGCAGCCCTTCCTTCTCCCATGATTGTTCTCTCCAGGGTGTGTCCACTTGAGGTAAATGTTTAACTCACTTGCCTGTACTTTGTTTGGCTGGAAACCACAGGTTTGGGTTCAATTCCAGACCTGAAGGGCAGCCAGGGGCCACAGTCTCAGTGGTTTCACCAGGCTCTATTAGACCAGCAAACCTGGTACCCACCTTATTTTTTTTAACAGGTCATTTAAAAAAATTTTTTTTTTTTTTTTTTAATAAAACTATTTCTTAAGGCTCTGTTCAGATACTCATTCTCTTTGAGACAGGACAGATTTGCTCCAAATCTCATCAGCATGAGCTCTTTTCTTTTCCCTCACATTCCTGGGGTAATATGTACAGTGCCAGGCTCATGACAAACTTGTCTCTTTGGCCAAAGAAAATTAAACTGCAATAGCTGAAAGTCAACTTACCCTGATAAAACTGGGCTCAGCATGAATACATCCTACTGACACCTCATCATCTCTTAGGCACAGCTGTCCCTCAGAATTCAGACCGCTGAAACTCCATCCTTATATTGGTCAGTCTCTTTTAGTGGACATGGTCCATTGTATGCTCAAGCTATTGGTAACAGAACTTGATACTAATATCCCAACCTCATTCCTATCATGCAGTGCCTTATAATCTAGCTGAGGCCCCTGACTGACTTCACCAGCCACCCTGCAGGTTAGTCACTAACTGCTCACAAAAGAACATCAGTCTCACTCCTCCTGAACTCACAGACTCAGACATAGCAAGCTAACACTCAGTCTCAATCCTAGTCAACCATTTGAAGAAAAATTATAAAAATAAAGAAAACAGGCAACTGAGGAGGAAAAAGTGTAGAACAGGAAGAAAGTGAGAACTGACAAAAAGAAACCTTTTCCAAAAACAACAATTGGCTTTCTATGTTTCAAGTTTATTAAAACACTGGGCAAAGGAAAACGTGGGTCTCTATACTGATTTAAGTCTTGACAGCTGTAGTCCTACACAGCTAGTTAAGACATCTGTTTTCCACCAAGGTTTGTTAGGTCTTAAAAGGGTTAAAAAAAACCTTTAATTTTTTTATTCTTTTTTTCCTCTGTGTGTGTATGTGTGTGTGTGTGTGTGTGGTCTTTGGGTATAGAGTCCCGTATAATAAGACTATTTGTATTCATACTGGCAGAGTAAACACTACATGTTCATGCCCAGGCAGCTCTGTGCTTGTAATTTCAGCAAGAACAGAGCTCTGTCCCTCTGGGACTTCACTATTCCCCTAGTCTCCATTCGCTCAAACACAGAATGAGAGCACAGAGAAAGCAGGAGAGAAAGATCATAGCAAGAGGTTTCACATAGCACTATAGCTAGCTTCCATGTCACCAAAAATCTCATTTTGTGTTTTAATTACATTGGTTAAAACTGTTTTTCTCTCAGCCCCATGTTCACAAGAATGCCGTCCACTCCTGAAGACTACACTGTTTAATGAATCAGAATTTAAGTCTACCACAAAAAAGCTTTTCTTTGCTGTTGAGGGGCTCACTAGGCAGATACTACAGACACTGGTACAAACGTCTGCTTCAACTGTGTGTGCTGACGAGTATTAACCCACTCTCGTCAAAATTCTATGCGCTCTCCCTTCCTATCTTCTTGCTTCTGCTATATGTCAAGGTGTTAGATTAGAAGAACTCCTACAAGTCTGATACTCTCCACCTGGTCTGACGCTAACATCCATCTTAATACCAAATCATTTACTCTTGGCATCTACTGGTGTACTTACGGCAACAGCCACATACCTTTTACATACAGTAAAATTTTGAGGGGAAAAAACAGAGAACAGAATGGAAAAAATTGCATATCATCTCCAAAGGTCTACCACAGCATGTTTATAGTGAAAACCCAGGTAAAGCTTATGCCTTCTAAGGAGTGAGCTTTATCTACGGATTATATCTAAGGTTGAAATAAAAATCACCTCTCTTTTCAGTTATAACTATTGTTATCACTGTGCATTAGGAGCATAGCTAAAATCAGGAAGACTCCCAATGCCTGGGGGAGGGCATAAAGGTGGAGGACAGAATATGAGTTTCTATTGGTACAATTGGTTAAACGCTTGACTACCAGCTGAAAGGCTGGCAGTCTGAACTCTCCAGAGGAGTCCTTGGAAGACAGGCCTAGCGATATGCTTCTGAAAGGTCACTCCACCCCACGACGGAGTTCTACACACCTGGAGTCACCACGAGTCCGAACTGACTTGACGGCAACTAAAAACAACATGAAAAAAGACTCCAAGGCTAGAATATGCATTCTTGGATAATCATCAAGAAATGTACTCAAAAAAAAAAAAGGTATTCTCTCTTTACTTTCTTTCATGTTTAAACTCCTGGTCCTCAATGAGCCCTTTAAAGAACCGTATCTTTACCATGTTCATAACTGCAACAGATCAAGTGAACCAAGCATATAAAACATACCAAAAAATGCAAATAAGTGTCCAAATGAGGAAAATCACTTAGCAGAACTAAAAAATTTTATTATATAGAATTTCAAAAATAGAGAATAAATCTTCATGTATCTATCACCTAGCTTCAATTATCAACTCATGACCAAACTTGTTTCATCTACACCTCCACCCTATCCTCCATTATTTGGAAGCAAATCCCAGACATCAGATCATTTAATTTGTAAACATTTTAGTGTCTAACCAAATATTGTTTTTTTAAAAAAGCAAAATTTAATACCATTATCACACCTGAAAAAATTAACCGTAATTCCCTAATATCCAAGCAATGCCCTCTCTTCTTTCTAAAAACTCTACCAGCAACACTACTAGGTGGCCTATGACACTTGCATCTTACTTAATATTCTTTCATAACCACTCCCACAGAAAGCTGGTACTAGTGGGCACAGAGATAAGAAAAAGGAGGGGAAAGGATTGAACTACTTGCCTCATTGCCTCCTGGAAGCCTGTTCATGTGGACCAGTTGACCTTGATCATCCAAAACCAGCTCAGTGTATGTCAGCATGTCAGAAGGCAGTGGTGGTGATGGAAGGAATGCTTGAGTGGACATAGACTCCCAGAGTTTGATCAGGGACTAGCGGGTGGAAGAAATTTGACTAATCAGTGACAATTAACATTTCAATACGGACAACCATGAATATAAAGATTAGGACAATCTGGCTTTGTTCTTTCTTTTCTCATGTGTTCTGCTTTGGGTCTGTCAGACTAAATTCTCCAGCTTCCATTCTCATTACAACAAAACTGTAAAAAATCACAATATCCTTGCTAGAAATCAGGCATGTTTCCAACAAATCAAACTACTGAATGAGTCTAAATCAGCACTAGAACATTAACAAACACAACAGATCTGGTAATATCCCAGGAAAATTAAAAACAAACAAAACTAAGTAAGTGGCACAAATTCCTTGTAAAGAAAAAGGAAAAAAAAAAAAAAAATTCTAGAGAAACTTGGCTAAAAGATTAACCAAGAAAGTGACATGACAATCAGCTAATACAAAGAAAGTCCAGGAAGTCAAGATTAAGGTTTCTGCTAGAGATTTAGAGGAAGCATCCTCTTTGCAGTATCTTTTCATAGCTATCAATGTACATATAAGGAAATAGCTCATGAGATTTGTAAACCTGGTATATAAGCATAGGAACAGAATTAAATATGGCTATATGTAAATATACATATCAATTCTGCTCAAATTTGAGAAAAAAGACACATCTGCCCATTTTAAAAAACACTATTTCCATTCCCAAATTTACATAAATAAACATATCCCTGCTAAAGTGGGAAATGGTTCTTTTTCTGCTTCCTTAAAGCAACATTTAAAGCCCAAATCAATCATGTATACCTACTTGTCCTAATCACTGTGTTTATGTCTATTACATAGGAAGAATTATACAGAATGGAATTTCTATTTATAACACTGCCACTGGGGTATAGACTGTCAGGCTAACAAAACTATAAAAATACTGAAGGAAAGTAGCTATGTTCCAAGACATAGAACTTGTAAACAAATGGTTTCAGAAAGGGAATCTCTTGAATTTGTGGACAGTACAGCAACTGTAGACTATTAACCCAAGGCCACATATATGACTTCCTTAAAATTTAAATTGCTAGTACTGACTAGAGGACTTGGAAAAATCCTATATTCATAGATTGTTTTAAAGGACAAATTCAGTATTCTTTTACCACTTTATTCTTGATCTGTTTCACTTTTTGCTGTGATATACTTTTCCTGCCTCCTACTGATGGAAGAAAAATCTGCAGCATAGAGAGGATTCATGAAACAGATCAAAGATATTTATTTTCATATAGAGCATGAGATTCATAATGTCTTGTTTTCTCATGCTACTTTTCGTTCAGCTATAAGAAGCCATCCACAAAAGAACTTATACTTTAAACTATATACCATGAACACTATATTCATTTGTGTATGTCACGTACTTCGATTCTCATATTAATTTAGGTTATCAGCTAGGCACCTGCATTATCTTAGAAAATAGTAAAATGAGAACTAGAGTTTCAGACCTTTTATAAAATATCCATAATTTGAATACAGGCTCAGGAAATTTATACCTGAATCTAACTCCTCAAATAGGCCACTGTAAAGTACTGTCATTGGCATGTGGTCTGTTTACTCTCTTCTACTCAGTAGAGGTTTCTAGTCTTACCATATCTCCTGTTAATTAATTAAAAAAAAAAAAAAAAAAAAAAACCCCAAACCAAGTCACTGCCACTGAGTCAAACCTGACTCACAGCAACCCCTCCTTGGGTTTCTGAGGTGGTATCACTACGGAAGTAGATTGCCCAATCTTCCTTCTGAGGAGTGGCTGGTGGGTTTGAACCACCAGCCTTCTGGTTAGCAGTCAAGTGCCTTAGGCATTATGCTACCAGAGCTCCTATTAATTCATAAAGAATCATCTAATACCTGAGTTGATAGTCAACAAATCCCAGAGTACGAATGAAATGAGAGAAGAAGCAAGATACCTCTTGCCCTTCAGGAACAGCCCCATCCTGGTCAAAGATGCATCAGGTAGAAATTGAGGAAAACCCTGCCTCCCCAGAACGAGTCAGAGCCCCCCAGATAGCCATCTTTACCTGCCGAAACATCTCTGGGATATCATATATGTATGTCGTTCCTAAGGATTGTGCCTGGAACCTCTTTGATTGAAGCAGGTCTTTGGTCACATATGGAGTGTTGATTAACATTCCATGCAGTGGTCCCTGTTTGTCTCCATATGCCTGAAACATGATCTGCAGGAAGAAAGAGAATAGCATGGGAGTTAAGTGATAGAGAAAAAAAAATAATCATATAGTTGCCTAGAGGGTCTTTTTCACAAGTGTTATTTCTTGAAATACATTTTTGGTGGTGGATGGGATATACATGTTGATACAAATATATATATAATTTTTTTTCTTTCCCCCTACCCAATATAGCAGGGCTACAAGTGTTGAATCACTCCTGCAATATCTATCTTGTCACATAATGAAATCACCACACCAGTTTTTAATCATTTTAACTCAAATATTTCTAGAAGAATATTTCATACTCCATATATTTAGTTTTATTTGCTTATGAATATTTATAAGGGATGCTATTATTTCAATTCAATTAATATTTATTGAGTGCCCAGAGGTTATATGACACTAAACTAGGCACTTTATGCATGAATACATAAAATAAAGATTCCCAATGCAGTGAATGTAAATGGAGATTGGGATAAAGTAGATATACTCACATATCTAGTTGGCTTTAAAAAATATAATCACAAGTCTACTGTTAATGAAGAGATTTGTAGACCTGATATATAAGCACAGGAATAGAATTAAGTACCTTCCTAAACCCTGGACACAGTTCCCTTCTACCAGTAAGCTAAGTGAATCCTTAGCCCTAGTTTACCTCAAAGAAATAAAGAGTATTCTTCTGACTTGCCAATCAGGTCCTTTTTCAGGCAAAACTTGTCTAATGCTGTATAAACCACCAGAGAATAGAGGTCCCAGTTCTCTTCCACAGGACTACTGGCAAAAGTTACCATGTGGAAGGAAGAAGCAGTAATATCTTAGGAATGCAAGTAGTAATATTTTAAGAGATTCAAAGTGTTAAGTGAGGCAAGGGTACTGGTATAAGAAAAAGGCACTCAGACAAGATGAATCAAAATAAGGAAACAGTAAAATCAGAAGGTTCTTGGGATTGCATCTCTGTCTATTAAGAGAGATAAGACCTGTGGGTATAGGGCCTGGGACTCAGTTTTACCAAGCTGTAGAATGAAGTCACAGTTAAAAAACTATGTATGCACTGAGGATAGAGATGATAGAGAAAGCCCTCCTGGTACATGCATTGTTCCTGGGAACTGAAAACGGTACAACCACTTTGGGAAAGAATTTGGCAGTTTCTTTCTTTTTTAATTGTGATTTGGGTTGAAAGTTTACAGAACAAATCCATTTTCCATTCAACAGTTTATATACATTTTGTTTCATGTCACTGATTGTAATACCCACAATGTAAGAGCTCACCTCCCACATTCTCCCTGTGGTTACCTTTACATAGTGTCCTCTCCTATATACATTCCTGCCCTCTAAGCTATCTCCCTGCACAAATGCTGCCCTTCTGATCTCCCTTGGTTGATTTTTCTAAGGCATGTACCTACCTGGTGTAATTGTTCACCTTGTAGGCCTGTCTATTATTGGGCTGGAAGTTAACCCATGGGAGTGGGTCTAATACGAAGCCTGAAGGGTGACTAGGGGCCATAGTTTCAGGGGTAGCAGCTTCTTACAAAGTTAAAAATATACTTACTATGACCCAGCAAATGCATTATTATGTATTTATCCAAGAGAAATGAAAGCATACCCATGCAAAGATTTATAAATGAATGGTTATAACAGCTTTGTCCATCAACACGTGAATGAATATAAAAACTGTGGTATATTCATATCAGGGAATACTACCCAGCAGTGAAAAGGTACAAATCAGTAATCCACGAAACATGGTTAAATCTCAAAAACATTACGCAGAGCTAGAGAAGCCAGGCAGAAAATAGTACACACTGTCTGATTTCATTTATATGAAATTCTAAGGCATAAAAAATGAAGCTGAATTGCCAGAAAGTAGATTACTAGTTCCCTAGGGCAAGGGTTGCTTAGGGAGACCAGGAAGCAAGCTGGTGGTGGTTTGGAACACCTAAAGGAGACCAGGAAATGAGCCAGTAACAGTTTGGAGCAGCTAAGGGAGACCAGGAACTCTGGTATCATAGTGCCTAAGGCACCTGACTGCTATCCAGAAGGGTGGCAGTTCAAACCCACCAGCCACTCCTCAGAAGGAAGGTTGGGCAATCTACTTTCCATAGTGATACCTCCTCAGAAACCCAAGGAGGGGTCACTATGAGTCAGGTCCGACTTGACGGCACATAACAACAATAACAACAACAACAAGGGAGACCAGGAAGTGAGCGGAGTGGTTTGGAACAACTAAGACAGATGAACATGTCTGTCAGTTTGTCATACTGTGGTGGCTTGTGTGCTGATGAGGCTGGAGGCTATGCCACCAGTGTTTCAAATGCCAGAAAGGTTACCCACAGTAGACAGGTTTCAGTGGATCTTTCAGAATAAGACAGACTCAGAAAAAGGAAGAGGCCATCCACCTCTCAAAGAATTGGCCGATGAAAACCCTACGAATAGCAATGAAACACTGCTGATATATTACTGGAAAACTTTTATGAACAGCCCTGAAACACTGTCTGATCTAGTTCTGGAAGATGAACCCTTCAGGTCAGAGGGCACTCAAGATATAACTGGGGAAGATACTCTCGGAGTTGAGATGACTTTCATGATGTGGACAGAGTAAAGCTTTCGGGATCTTCATTTGCTGATGTGGCATGATTTAAAATGGGAAGATACAGCTGCAAACATACAATAATAATTGGAACGTGGAATGTACAAAGTATGAATCTAGGAAAATTAGAAGTTGTCAAAAATGAAATGGAACACATAAAGACCAATATCCTAGGAACTAGTGAGCTGAAATGGACCAGTTTTAGCCATTCTGAATCAGACCACCATATGACTTACTATGCCAGGAATGACAAATTAAAGAGGAATGGCATGGCATTCATCGTCACAAAGAATGTTTCAAGATCTATCCTGAAGTACAATGCTGTCAGTGATAGAATAATATCCATATGCCTAAGAGGAAAACCAGTTAATATGACTATCATTCAAATTTATGCACCAACCACCAAAACCAAAGATGAGGAAATTGAAGATGTTTTACCAACTTCTGCAGTCTGAAATTGACCGAACATGCAATCAAGATGTCTGTTATCACTTGGAATGCAAAAGTTAGGAGAAGAATAATGACCGGTGGTTGGAAAACATGGCCTTGGTGACAGAAATAACGCTAGAGATTGAATGATAGAATTTTGCAAGACCAACGACTTAATCATCACAAATACCTTTTTTCAACAACACAAACGGTGGCTATACATGTGGATCTTGCCAGATGGAGTACATAGGAATCACATTGACTACATCTGTAGGAGAGGCAATGGAGAAGCTCAATATCTTCAGCCAGAACAAGGCCAGGAGCTGACTGTGGAACAGACCATCAACTACTCATATGCAAGTTCAAGTTGAAGTTGAAGACAATTAAAACAAGTCCATGAGAGCCAGAATATGACCTTGATTGTATTACTCCTGAATTTAGAGA